ACGAAGTACACTGCTGAGGGGAGCAGCGGGCGGGTCAGGAGAGGTCTGCTGCGCCATGTGGTCACCTCCGGGGCAGGTGGGGATCGAACTCATGCTGCTGTGGCTTTAGTTTCTTAGTGCTGTGCTTTAACCCGTTGCACCACCAGGGAGGGCCAGCTTGAGAGAGCTCTTTAACCCCAGAGCCACCAGGGAGGTCCTGTCACATAGTGTTTTGCCCATATTTTCTTCTGTAGATTTTATGGTTTCATGTCTTATGTTCCATTATCTATTTTGAGTTCCATTTTGTGCACATTGTGCGGTAGTAGTCTAGTTTCATTCTATTTCATGCCATTGCCCAATTTTTCCGAGAACCATTTATTAAACAAACTGTCCTTGTTCCATTGCATATTCTTTGCTTTTTTGTCAAAGATTACTTGTCCACATATGTGTGGCTTTATTTCTGGATTTTCTATTTAATTCCACTGGTCTGTTGTCTGTTTGTGTTCCAATTCCATGCTGTACTAATTATTATGGCTATGTAGTGTAGTTTTAAGTCTGGAAGTGTGATAGCTCCATTCTCTTTTTTAGTCAGGGGACTATCTGGCCATTCGAGGTGTTTTTGTTTTTGTTTTTGTGGCTCCATATGAATTTTATCAACATTTATTCTATTTCTTTGAATAATGTCATTGAGATTTTTACTGGGATTGCAGGTTTATTCCTAGGTATTTAAATTTGCTGTTGTTTCAGTTGTAAATGGAATGGTTTTACGTTTTTTCTTCAGATTGATTGCATGTGTATAGGAAGCTACTGATTTTTGTATCCTGCTATTTTACTAAAATGGTTTATTATTTCAATAATTTTCTGTGGAGTTTCTAGGGTGTGTATGTATATTATTATATAGTCTACAAATATTGTTTTACTTCTTCTTTCCCTTTTTGGATTCCTTGTATGTCTTTCCTTGTCTTACTGCTCTAGTTAGGACTTCCAGTGTTATACTGAAAAGCAGTAGTGAGAGTAGACATCTCGTCTTGTTCATGATCTTAAAGGCTTCCAACTTTTCACTGTTGAGATTAATATTGGCTGTGGGCTTGTCATATGTTTACATTGTTTTTATGATGTTAAGATATGAGGGTCTTCATCATAAAAAGATATTGAACTTTGTTAAATGCTTTCCCAGCATTTACAGATTTTGTTGATGTGTTGGATTACATTATTTTAATTTTTATTTTTGTTGATGTGTTGAATTACATTAATTGTTTGGATGTGGAACCATCCTTGTACCCCTGGAATAAATCCCACTGAGTAGCATTCATGTATTGCTGGATTCTGTTAACTAGGATTTTACTGAGGATTTCTGCATCAGTGTGGAACTTTATTATATTTTTTTAAAGATTTATTTATTTGTGCATACAGAAATGGGGTACAGGCCAGAGGCTCAGGGGAGGTGAGAGGCTTCACCAGAGACAGAGTGGGGAACAGAACAGGCAGATGGACAAAGCACACTGCTGAGGGGAACAGCGGGCAGGTCAGGAGAGGTCTGCCACGCCAGTGGTCACCTCCGGGGCAGGCGGGAATCGAACTCATGCAGAAGTGGCTCTAGATTCTCAGTGTTGTGCTTTAACCCGCTGCACTACCAGGGAAGGCCGGAACTTTATTTTTTATACCAGGTGAAAATGATCTTTGCACAGTATTACCTCACTCTACATACTTTGAACTTATAAGACCTAAATAAAATTCACCAATATAAGGAGTCTGTGAAATGGCATATGTTTCAGAGAAGATAGTGTTGATATCCTTCAAGAACTTGTATTCAAGGAAAACAGGATTGCCCTATGGAAACCAAGCTGGTAAAACCCAAAATTATGATATGATTAACCATTTCACACCCAAACCATTATCAAGGCAACCTCTAAATGATCAAATGTCCTCAAGTAAGACTGAAACATAACTAATCATACTATTGGACACAGACTTTTCCATTTCTTTGTGTTCTATATTCCGTTTAATAGTGTCCTACAGTTTTCATTGTGTAAGCCCTTCATTTTCTTTGTTAAATTTATCTCTAGGTACATAATTCTTTTTGATACAACTGTTTTCTTGATTTCTTTCTCTTCTAGTTTGTTGTTTGTATATGAGAAAGTAAAAATTTTTTATACTGATTTGTAGCATGCCTGGTTTATTTTTTTCTAATAATTTACTGATCTTTAGGGTTTTCTATGTATATCATCTTACCTAAAAATGAGAGTTTACTTCTATTCCAACTTTTATACCTTTCATGTATTTCTCTTGCCTAACTGCTCTAGTAGGGACTGAAATCTAGGGCTCCTGGTGTTGCAAGGTACAGGAGAGGAAGACAGTCTAGCGAAGGAGACTGAGAGGTAGTCAATGGAACAGGAGAAAAACCAAGAGGGTGTGGTATTCTGCAAATTAAGTGAAGAAAGTTTTTCAAGGTCAGCCTTGTAGGATGGTACAGGTCAGTTCAGTAAAATGAAATTCAGAATCTGCAATTGGAAGACTGTGGGGATCTTGATAACTTTTGGAGTGGTGCTGATAAAAGCTTAACTGGAATGTGCCTGAAAAAGAAGAGGAAGTAAAGACTTTTTACCATCACCATTGTTGTCATCATTTCCCCAAAGAAACTGATTGAGGGCCTACTGATGGCAAGAGAAATGTCAAAGTCTTGAGGTACAAAGATGGTAAACTACCCTCCAAGAACTCATGAAGAAGTAGTGGAAACAATACTGATAAAGTATACTTTGTGCCACATCCAGACACATGCATGTATGTATAGGAGCTCAGAGCACTGTGAGTGGTGTGGTAACATACTGATGAAGAGGTTTGAACCTATACCCCTAAATCATATGCCATGCTGTTAGCCAATGTTAAACCTCAACAGAAGTACAATGAAAGAAAACAAATAATTAAATATTTTGTAATTAAACAAACAAAAATGACCATGAACTTTCTGCCAGTATTATGCAATCTCAAATTCAAGTAGCTCAAGTTACCACAAATAATCACACATTTATGAGAGAGTTACATTTGAATTTCAATTCTTTTATTATTAAATAACACAACAAATACTACATAATTGTAAAACTTAAGGCTTCTTTAAATTTAGATATTAACTAGTTTAGAAGAGAAAGGGGAGACTTATCTCTGGGTATGAAAGTAAAGATCAAAAGTATTTATTTAACTACTTATTTACCTACCTCCAATACAAGAGAGCTCTCCTCTCTACTTAGAAAGCTTTTTCACAAAAAACACTTTTACAGAGATAACTAGAATTGTTGCCCCCACCTCAAAATATTTTCATTCAGGTGTTTTGCTTTTTTTCCAATTAATATTGACACTCTGAGCATAAAAATCATGGTAATAATATGCTTAAAGGCTAAAGTTTTGTGTTTACATTTAGAAAAATATATGCTTAAAGAGAGAGACAGAGTCACAAAATGTCAAGCTGTTATAAATAAAGATTATGTATATCTTTCAGTTTCTACCAGTATACTATGGAAAGAATGTAAAACCTTCTGAAAAAATGAAATATTAATAAGGCTTTGTTTTCATGGTGGAAATCCTATTTCTTTGCCTTTCCTCTCATTAATATATTATTATAAAAAGAATTTTTATTTATGATTTTTCTGAACCAATTTAAAATACATTTTATTATCAAAAAGTTAAAGTTGGCTAAAGATCAAAAACAAACAATTTAGCCTCACTAAACATAAAACTAAACATTCACATTTCTGGAGCCCTTATTACCTACACCAGTTTCTTTTTCTATTCTTCTATTCCTATTCTTTTCTTAGACATTTATTTGATGTGTCAAACAAATTTTGTTAGTTTACACTAAGTTATATGATACAATCTCAGGTGATAGTTTTTAAGATTGTAATGATTCCAATTTTGTTTTTTCCAGTTTAAAGAGAAGCAAGCTGAAAAGAAATATAATGAGAAAGTAAAATCACCAAGAAAGTGTTCATTAAAATTTTAACTGACTTAAGGAAAAAAATTACTTCCATATAGTTGGTTCCAGATTGATTAGGCTACAAATTATTTTAATAAGCAAAGAATATACTGAATACCAAAAAAAATCAATTAATGTTCCCTGTCAATGTAGATTCAAATTAATGAAGTGAAGTTAATATACTAGACTAAAAAAAATCTGAAATCAAAGTGTAGTAAATGAAAAATACTAACTAATGGTTATTAGTATAATAATTTAACACACAATGTTTGGAAACTAGTGGGAAATAAATGTCTAATTTCAGAAAAACCTCTCTGTATTACTACAGAAACATCCTCCAAAGAAGTGGTGATTCCCTGTCAAACCTCATAGGGTCTTAAGCTCCAAATTGCAGTGTTTAAAAGTTAATGATAAGGACTTGGAAAAAAAAAAAAAGATACCTTTAAAACACAAGTACTTAATGGGGAGAGGAATATAGTTGGTTTATCTGACAAGGATGCAAGTTTACTAGTACGCAACAGACGTCTCTATTTATATTCTGCCACGTTGATGAAAGATCACCCTCCTATTATTCTGACTCACTTTCTTTTTAGCACTTATCAGTATCTGATACTATGTTATATATTTGTTTATCTCTCTTTTCCAATAAAATAAAAGCTCCAAGAAAACAAGAATTATCTCTCCTGTGTACTAAAAATTTTCCAGAATAGAAATATGCCCAACAGATAATGATTATTTCAGTACTTCTTAAGGGTGAGTGATTAAACTATTTTATAAAAACTTCAATAACAAAACTATGCATATAATATAGATCTTATGAGAAAAGAAGAAAATTGTTTGCTTGGGTATATGAAAAAATGAAGGAAAATTTGGAGAAACCTGGGTTAATGTAAATGCAGAAAAACATACTGAACAACCAAAAACTCCTATTACAGTGATCAGAGACAACTTTTTTTTTTTTAAATGCTATGCTAGCTGAAAGACAATAGAGGATCAATCCTATTTTGATTCCTCTACTACCTTCTTAAAAATAACATACATTATATCATGCAATAGAACAGTCACGAACCCTTACTACACAGCCAACTAAACCCAAACTTCTTACTTTAATCTCAAGACATTTATAAAATGGTCTTAAAAACACTTAAGCATATACGAAAAACCATTCACAAAGATCTATCAAATTTTGGGCCAATCTCATTCATTCCTCAAAGTCTTTGCTTAACCTCTTTACCTTAATTTGAATGCTGTCCATTCCTCTTTATCCTGTTACTTTCATGCCTGTTCTTCAAAGTCTAAAATAAGTTTCACTTCCTCACTTTCTAACCAATTTTTCACATCAACTTTCCCCTCTTTGAACATGTATCAGATCTTATACAATACCACCTTTCAAATATATGCATTTTTTTCTCTCTACAATCAAACTATAAGAAATTTCCACTTTTACCTCCAATAAGCACTTAAGAGTAATAATAAGGGAGTCATTCACTCAGGATACATGACACATTTACATGCAGTTCACTGTATTAGTAATTTTCATTTTTATAACCCAAAGTAATTGATTCTATTACTTACCATATCAATAAGGCTTTCTTGTATTCTGTTTAGAGTTGTTCTTAGTCTACTACTACTAAGGCCTAATCCTGTTGATTCCAACTGAAAAATAAAAAAAAGAAACGCATGTTAAATCTTCTGGTAGTAGGGAAGGAGGCATGGGAAATCTCCCTGGTAGTAATCTTGCAAGTATAATAGACAGCTTCAAATTAACTAGTTATGTATCTGATTAGTTGTCACTGTCTTCAGAGGGGATTCCAAGCTGCATTCAAAAATCCCAGAGCATCAAACAAAAAGTCAAACCCTAGCTTCTAAGAGAACTACTCGCTAATCTACCAATAATGTTTGCCAAAAATTGTAATCCCACAAGTTACCATTTTTATTTTAAAAACTTGAGACTTTAAGGCCCTCCCTGGTGGCGCAGCGGGTTAAAGCACTGCACTGAGAGACTAAAGCCACTTCCGCATGAGTTCGATTCCCGCCTGCCCTGGAGGTGACCACATGGCGTGGCAGACCTCTCCTGACCCGCCCGCTGCTCCCCTCAGCAGTGTACTTTATAGATCTGCCTGTTCTGCTTCCCGCTCTGTCTCTGGTGAATCCTCTCACCCTCCGCATCTCTGGCCTGTACCCCAGTTCTGTATGAATAAATAAATCTTTAAAAAAAAAAAAAAAAAAACTTGAGACTTTAAATAGCTAAAGATAGTATATGTTGAATAACAATGTAGTGTTACTAATGTACTTTTCTCACACAAATTAAACTGTCTAAATCCTCAACCAAAAATTAATGAAGCTTTTTTTCATAAAGCTTAATAAACATTTCACAATACAAAATTTTATTCACCACAACAAAGCCACACTAATAAAACATGAAACATCAATAAAAAGCACATAATAATCTCCAAATAACAGGCCAGTTACCTGCCCAATATTATATTGTTTTCCATTAACAGGAGAAAAAGATATACTCAGTAAGAGCTATGGAAACATAAAAATGAGGTGCAGAAAATTCTGGCAGGCAGATAGTTTAGTTAAAAAGACATCCAATTTTTTAATAACTATTAGCTACTCTTTTCTGAATGTAGTGGTGCCTGCTAAGGTTGTTAGTCAATACACAAATGTCTCATTACTGAATAGTAATTAAACACTGATGGGCCAACTTAAAAATAGCAACCTGCATATTTTACATTGCCAAAATATATCAAGGTGAGAAACAGATGTTATCCTTTTTCTGCCAAAAAATTGAGTAACATATAGTATGTTTATCATAGCAAAGCTTAAAGAATAATATATAAATAAGGCAAATAGACTATTCTGTTGGATTCTTGATGGATAATTTTCAAAATAATATTATTTGTGTATTTTATCCAGAGGGAATAAAAAAACCTTCCATTAAAAAAAAAATTAAAAAAGACTTTTTCTCCAAAAGTTGACTTACTGAATCATTCCTACCAAAGAAGGTATATATTGCATACAAGTAATAATCAAATAGTTGAGACATGAAATGGATGACATCAAAGGCAATTGGCTTAAGAATGTTCATCATCTGCATGTATTTACCTAAAAAGAAAAAATAAATAAAATTTAGTAAAATGAAATTAAAATCTGTTATTCTGTAACTAGATGATAAAAATGCTTTACCAAAACATTTTTTTTAAAAAAAAATTTACATCCCTCAATCATACTAGAACATTTCAAGTGCTCGAGATTCCTATGTGGCTAGTGGCTACTGTAGTAGACAATATAGATAAGGAACAGTTAAAATTGCCCTGGATAGCACTATTGAGAAGCAATGATATAAATACCTAAACTGATTTTAATCATCTTATTCTACTGTTTGTCAAGTATTGAGGAACTCCTATACTCCTCAGCAAATGAAACTATAGTAATACATGACACAGTTCCTCATTTCTTACAGTTTTAATCTAAATTACTTACTTCACAAATGCTTAACTTAAACTCTAAACAATCTCAAGATAATGTATAGATTTTTCTCCCATAAGCTTATATACACATACCGGAATTCAAAAAGGATGTGGCAAGTACTTCCCATTCTGCTGACTCCCAACACTCTGAAAGCTTGTATCAGGCCAAGCACATTTTTTTTATCATTACATCACTCAAAAGCTGAATTCCCCCAAAGTGCCCCTCCTTTAAAATGTTACCCCCCCCAAATATTTCTTTGGATATGTCCCCTTTCCTCTAAACATGTGGTCCAGTTATAGGAAAAAAAAATAAGAAACAAAATTTCTGTATTTACATAATTATTAAGTGGTGTTGAAGAATGCACAGAAGATGAGTTGAGGAAAGTGACAGCTGCAAATCCCTAATTTGTGTATCTTTTTCTACTGGAAATAATAGGGAAAGAAGCATATTTATAAGAAATGCTTTCCACAGGAGATAAACAGGCCATATGACTGATTTTCAAATAAACAAATAATTTAGGTACTAGCTCTAATTTATGTAAACGAGTACTACTGAAGACACCATGACTTAAGAGAAAACATTTACTGTACTGAATGTAATGACAAAGTTACGCTAATAAAAATCTATCAAAAACCATCTTTTATTATCTTAAAAACTCAGTATAACTGCCTTAACTTATATGAGATGATTTTCAATAATAGTCAAGATTATCAGGAAAAGAATCTCCCATATATAACACACATAAACATCAAAACTATGTAAAAAAGCAAAAGCCATTCACTTCAGATTCTATGCTTACTCATATTTACAAGTCTTATTGAAGAATTAGCTCTTGCAATTATTTCATATAGACATTTTAAAATCAATCATTGAAAAACATTCACAGTTTTGGAATAACTGTGCTGTTATTTCATCAACTAGAAATGCACAATATTTAAACAGTAACAACAGACATATAAAATGTGATACTATGAAGGAAAAAAAAAAGATTATCTTACACTACCTTAACCTGTAAAGAAAAAGAAAGAGATGACTAAGTAGACTAAGATAGGATACAAATCTCTAGAATGATATAACCCAAAATACAAGGCTCCTAGTAATAACAATGACCATTGTTCACATACTTAAGGCAGGAAACAAAATGAATGACTAGTAAGTTATTTTAAGTGTGTATTCAGGTGGGTAAAAAGACATTGATGTTACCCACCATTCTGAAAAAATATATATATTTAAATATAATTATATTCTTCCCCTCCTCCTCCCTGTACTTTTTCTCCACATTTACCAAATTCTTTTCTAAAGTTTATCATATAGTTGGCCTTATGTTAAGGAACAAAGAACTGCCTTTTTCATACCTTAAATGGTCATATGTGGAGGACAGTGATCAATAAGCAAATTAAAATATTTAAACATGTTAAGGTGAAAAATAGTCTCTCAATTCATGGGGGCAGAGTAAGCCTTTGGAACCGTGAGTGTTGGCACCTGGACTTGACTGGCTTATGGACTTAGATACCGAAAGGCATGTGAAAGTAGATGCGCCTTGGGGAAACACTCTCGAGTGCCGGGTCTGTGCTCTAAGAATGTGAGAAAATAGGTCATGTGAGCAAGTGGCCATGTCTGAGAAAGACAACAAAAGAGCATATCAAGAGAAGTGAGTAAGTCAATATGCTATTGTTACTGCTTGAGAATGTGGCATATATAAAGAGCACATTGCAAAATAAAGATTCACTGCATGATGGACATAACAGTCATCCCTCTGGTTTGTCCTTCATAGGTGTGTCCCCCACCAGAAGTCCACATTGAGGAAGTGATATACTTCCTCAGACTCAGTGAACCTAAGAGTATTTCACAAAGAATTAAGCGTATCTCTATGAAGAAGATGGGATGAGAAGTTAAGGACAGGTAGGTATGATCACCAGAATATAAGAATCTAAAAAAAAAATCTAGACTGGGGTAAACACATCTTTCCTGTAAAGGACCACATAGTAGATAGTTTAGGATCTGCATGCTAGTGTCTCTGGCAACTTCTCAACTCTGCTGGTCTGTCTCAAGTACTTGATTTTGCTTTTGAAGCACAAAAGTAGTCACAGACAATATGCAAACAAATGAACATGTCTGCATCCCAATAATCCATGCTTGAAATATGGATGTTTTGGAAACTGGTGATATAATTACTTAAAATTATAAAAAAAATATAACAAACTACTCTGCATTACCTGTTACATAATAATTTCCTGTTATTTGAACACATTCTTTTACATTTCAAAAAGGACAACACAGAAAGGAAACAATGACTCTCAGTTTGATCCCTGAACTGGCAAAATTCACATCTCTTGAAAACTACTTAAAGATGTACAGTTTTAGGTTATATCACAGAATATACTGAGTTTGATATTCTGCAAGTAGAGTTCCACAATCTGTGTAAACAATACCTGCAGATGATGCTGGCATATACTAAAATCAAGAATCACTGGTTTAGATCATCATAAAAGACAGGAGTTTTATCCCCTGGTTTTCAAGATCTCCCAGTAGCTCCTCATTTTTCTCTTTCCTCCACCATTCACTCAGGACCTTCTTCACTGCCTTCTCTCTTTCTGTCCCTCCAACATCTCCAATAGAAGATATAGGTTCATTTGGATTCTCTGTGAACTCGGTAAGATTAAGAGCCTCTGCCAAGAAAAATTCACCCACTACTATGGTTTAACTACATTTTACACTAATGACTTCAAGTATGTATCCTGATCATATTTATTCTCTCTTCTATTTAAATGCCCCATGACCCTATATCAAAAAACCAATGTTAACTCAATACAAAATAATAATATTAATGTTCCATCGGTAATCTCTATGTGTCTAAAACCAAGCCTATCATCAGCTCCCCAAACCTGGACTTCTCTTTCCTATTTCAGTAGTGGCATTACAACTAACATAGCTAGTCACACAAACCTAAAATTTTTTTTTATTAAAAAGTTTATTTTTACATCATTTTTCACATTTTTTTTTCATCTCAATTGTAATCCCCACGGGTTTCCCATCACCAAATCACCCCTGTGCCACCACCATAGTCCCGTGCATTTCCCTCCCTTCCCCCCCCCCCCGTTTTTGATCCCATTCCCCACTCCACCCCCACAGAATGTCTCTGGTCTATGGTTGTTCATTATTTTTGTTATTTTCTCGCCTGGCCCATTATACTCCTGCTATGAGTGAAACCATCTGGTATTTTTCTTTCTCTTTCTGGCTTATCTCACTAAGCATGATCTTTTCCAGCTCCATCCAAGTTGCTGCAAAAGACATGTGTTTCTCTTTTTTGGTTGCTGAGTAATATTCCATTGTATATATGTACCACATCTTTCTAATCCAGTCATCTACTTTTGGGCATTTGGGCTGCTTCCATGTTTTTCCAATTGTAAATAAAGCAGCAATAAACATGGGGGTACAAGTATCTTTTTCAATCAGTGTTTTTGTGTCTTTTGGGTAGATACCTAGGAGTGGGATTGCTGGGTCATAGGGAAGCTCCATGTTTAGCAGTTTGAGGAACCTCCAAACAGTTTTCCATAGTGGTTGTACTAGTTTGCATTCCCACCAGCAATGCAGGAGAGTTCCTTTTTCTCCACATCCTCGCCAACATTTGTTGTTGCTAGTTGTTTGAAGATGTGCCATTCTCACTGGGGTGAGGTGGTATCTCATTGTGGACAAACCTAAAATTTAATTGTGATCTCTAGTATATAGTTCACTAATCCTATCCTTGTATTTCTCAAATCTGCTGCTCCTTATTAGAAATATGATCTTTGTCTTAACTGGCCCAATTCCTCATCATCTCTTGCCTGGGAAACTTCAACAGCCTAGCAGTCTTTGACCACCTCTAGCCTCCACTTTACAAGTGAAGCTGTCATTCACACTGTGGCCAGAGTAATCATTTTAAAAAATCAAATCACCTTGTTTCACTTCACTTTAAAACTTTAAATGAGGCCCTCCCTGGTGGCACAGCGGGTTAAAGCACAGCACTAAGAAGCTAAAGCCACTACAGCATGAGTTTGATCCCTGCCTGCTCTGGAGGTGATACATGGCCTCTCCTGACCCACCCACTGCTCCTCTCAGCACTGTACTTCGTCGATCTGCCTGTTCTGCTCCCTACTCTGTCCCTGGTGAATCCTCTCACCGCCCTGCACCTCTGTCCTGTACCCCAGTTCTACATGTATAAATAAATAAATCTTTTAAATAAATAAATAAAACTTAATGACTTCAAGGCCAAGCTCCATAGCACATTTCATAAGACCCTTTGAATCCAGTTCTTTAGTTCTTTCCCACTCTTCTTGTCACACCTTCCATGTTTTCTACACACAACAAACTCAACTGCCATATTCTCTATATACACCAGGCTTGCACATTTTGTTCTCTACACTTGATTAGAATGCCTTTTTTTTTTTTTAACTCTATGAGACCTTCTTCATCTTTCAAAGTCAGTTATGTTGTCAGCCCTCCAGTGAGTCAGCCCATTCAGTATTTGCTATCTAAAAAAGAAAGTTTATCATTTTTCTCTTTGCCTCTTTTCTACTTGTAAACGTTTTTCTCTAGTATATTATTTCCCACGTTGGACTCCTTAACTAAACAGACTGCATGATCATATTTCCTACAAAAAACAGTAGCTCAAAAAATATCCACTGAGTTGAAAATAAATGAATATAATAGACATGATAGAAAAATACTAGTTTTTAACATAAAAATGAAAATACATTTCCTTATTACATATTACAACAATGGTTAATGACTGATTAGATCACACACATAAATATTTTAGCATATTAAAGATCTTTATTTAAACTCAATCATTATTTAACTAGGAGATTGGGAAAAAGTATCCCCACATATTGTTAGGTAAAGTAACAGGATCTCTTTAGTGGTTCTTTGGTAATTTCCAAATGTCCATCAAAATTTGAATCAATAGGAAGAAACTTGGGAGGAATTCATCCTACAGCTATATTTCAATAGGGACAATGATATTTTCTTGAGGATATTACTGTGGCTTTGTTTGTGGCATCAAACAACTTGAGATAACCTAAATGTTAGAAAATATTAATAGAGGATTTATATTGTGGTACATCTATGCAACAGGATCATAAAAAACAATACACTGTGTATACTAAGGTATGTAACAGCTTAAGGTATTTTAAGTGCATTCATAATATAGTTGAATTAAAAAAAAAGTGAGATGAAGTGCAATATATATAATATAATCCAATCTTTGAAACAAAAATAGAGATCCAAATATGACATACTAATATGTCCAAAAGAAGACAGAAAAAACCAAGTGGTTTCTATGAAGAGGTAATATGGAAGTCAGACTTTGGGGCATTATAATTTTTATCCATTTTCATCACTGCCTTTCAATTTAAAATACTCAGCAATATTAATGCCCCACCCAAAAGAAGATACCAATGAAGGAGAGCTCTTTTCCATCTCATTTCTGCATTCCTTCCCCCAAACAGACTACATTTCACTCACATTATGGTGAGATATCCTCCACAAGTACATATTCTGGTTTCATGGAATGATATATTTGCATATATTGTACAGATATATAGATACAGATTTATAATATATCATATAGATAAGGGTTATAACATATTGTCTATATTATATTTGTTACAATATAACATGTCATAAATACTGACATGACATTGTTTATCATGTATATGTATTGATATCCAGCTGCTAAAAACTCACTTTGTTGCAAGGTTAATAGTTTTTACAAGTATAAATGCTGGCTACTTATCTTCTGCCCTTCAACCTTGTTATACCAAGTCAAGTGAGAGCTATCTCCAGAATAGAGAACCTTTAATACCAAGGCTATTTCAGCGATGAGACACATCCCCTAAAAATTTCTACAAGAAATCATCAGACTGACAGGATTTTCTCCTTACACAGGCATGCATTCTGATTAGTCCTCTGCACTTGTGAAAGACTTTTGAGCCTAACAGATTTAGGTCCCACCTGGGGTTGGAAAGCCCCATTAATACTCTGTTGTTTAATCTCTCCTAATTATCTGCCAAGTAAATACTACTTGAAAAAGACACTTTCAATATGCTTTTAATGTTCTAAAATGTGTCTCCAAACTGTCAAGTAATTAATTCCTTCATCTTCCCAAGGCACTAAAAATTAATCTATCTTATTTACACAATTGTACTTCTTGCTTTTTAAGGACGGACATTACTTTTGCCAGTTTACAATCTTCAAAGACCTCCATGAAATAACAACAGGGGACAGGATAGTGCATTTAGAAGTTGGAGACTCCTTGGAGTGCTTCCCTTAAAGTCCCATTTTATGAATATGTACAAACTGAAGATAAAGATATCCCAGGCAGACTGAATTGGTAAGCATAAACATATAGTAGGGGAATAATGACAGCACCTAATCCCACCCTAACTGGGAGATATGAAAGTTCAATGATTATACTAGGTATTGCTTCCTAACTGCAACTCCAGTAAAAGATCTGGAGGGGAGACTGAAATGATAATGTTCAGAATCACTTTACTAGTAAGATTTTACTTAGGATTGTTTTGCTTGCTAGGGCTGATAAACCAGAGGCTTGTAAGAATGTGGGATTTTGTCAGTTTTCTGTAAGTCCTGTTAGAAAGTAATGTCCATTTTTTGGAGCAGAAATCTTCATGTAAGAATGCATTGTTACTATCTTCTGAATCTAGCCAGGAGCACACTTCTATTGTTACTGCATGCCTTTCTGAATGAGAGTAGCAGAGTACACTGCTTCTTCATTTCTGCAGGATCCCAAGAAGTAAAGTTACAGTGAAGCATTGCATTTGATGCTTGCATTGAGCTAAGTGAAAACCAGTTTCCCCTTCTCATTTTTGTTTCAGCCTTATATTTAATTCTACTGAATTTAGAGCAAAAAGCAACATCGCCACCTTTTTGAACAATGTAAGATAAAAATTTAAACAACTACTTATATATGGTTGATGATATCATCTTATCATTGTTTACCCTTTCTCCTCATTCACTCTCACAAGATTATGCATCCTGGCCACTGTTCTGGGCTTGCTGTGCCTTTCTGGGACAAGTATACTCCCTTACTCAGTCAATCGACTTTCTCTGGCTGGTGGCATGTTAGAGGAAGCCAACGGCTTCATATCAGAAGGGACCCCTTCTCTGGTGGTGCAGGGGTTAGATCTCAGTGGTAACAAGCTATTACCAGCCACTGCAAACAGCTCCATCCCTGGAGAGGGAATTAACCCACATGGCATAGCAAACTTTTCCTTTCTCGCCCATTGCTCCCCTCAGCAGCGTATTTCAGTCAATCCCACCTGTTCTGCTCCACACTCTAGGTGTCTGGGGAATTCTCTCACCCCCTGTGCACCTCTGGTCTACACCCCAGTTCTTGTATGCATAAATGAAAATAAAACCTTTTATAAAAAAAGTCCTAACAGCCCCTCCCGGATGGCGCATCCAATTAAAGCACAGCACTATGAAGCTACAGCAGTCACTGCAGCACGAGTTTGATTCCTGGCCAGGGAAGTGACCCACATGGCGTGGCAGACCCCTCCTGACCCACCTGCTGCTCCCCTCAGCAGTATATTTCAGTTCAACTGCCTGTTCTGCTCCCTGCTCTGTCTCTGGTGAGTTCTCTTACCCCCCTGCTCCTCTGACCTATACCCTAGGTTCTGTATGCATAAATAAAAAAAGTCCTAACATGGTTCAGCTTTTGCTTAATCCCCAGATCCCAGACTGGTACTGTTCTTTCAGCTTGCACTTCAGAATGAAGATACACACAGAGGAGAACTAAGATGATCAGAGTTAATACACATTCATTATAAACCTTTGTGTTTGAAAGCTGCTGAGATGTTTGAGTGGTATGTAATGTCAATACAACTGAGCAAAAAGCCAAGCTTGTTAAACTATATCTCAAGCAAGTTGTCCAGATACTGAAAACTACAATGGGTCCAGAGGCTAAGAAGAGTGACAAGGAATCTGGATTACTTATCAGTGGAGGCCTCACAAACGAGATTAGGACCTCATTTGAGCACATGACACTGATGAATGGGTTGTGGGTGATGGCTCTGAGAAAAGGAAGGACAGCATGATCACCACCACATACTTGGCCACATGGAAGACTACATGTATAGGCTGGGTCCTTTTACTTTCAAAGACAGAACTGATATCAACAGATAAAGTTAGAGACACAGATTTGTTTTACCATAATCTATCCCCTAGATTAGTCTATCATATAACAAGTACTCATATACAACAATATACTTCCAATAATTGTGAGACATGAAGCAAAAACTGGATATCCACCATGTACTAGGGACCTTATTGAAAAGTCATTATTTTAGGGAAATGGAGACTGGGTGACCTTATAGAACCCTTGCAATTCTGATTCTGTAAATTCTAGAGAGTAACACATTATGCTGTGACTGGATAAGGAATCACATAACATTTAGATAAAGATGAAAAGCTCATTTTTCTGGCAATCATCAGTCACAAAGGAGCTTTTAAAATCATCATTTTCTGTGTCATAAAAAATATGCCTTTTTCCTTTGTTAATTCAATAGTACTGTTTCATTATTTCTCCTAAAGAAAGTGGGGAATCCTAAAGAGCATTTTGTCCACTTTATATTATTCATTAAATGAAATTTAGAAATTACCTTTAAGGACAGAGATCATTTCATTGGCGTTAAAGAATAACCAAACTGGACAATAGGAAATTATCGTCTCCATAACAGAACAGAGATATGTTATATAAAACCACTAGCACTCATGACTGGTACCAGTGACTTAATGTGAGAAGGAAGATAACTCTGTAACTTATTTGTCAAATGTCACAAATCTATTTGTGAAGTATAAAGTAAGTAACCAATATAATAAAATACTGACATTAAAAAACATGTACCATTTTCAAGCCTAAGTATTTTAAATAGTATTTCTTTATTGTTTGCTTTCTATAAAATCATCAATAAAGGTCTTATCTGTAATAAAAACAAACTTCTTATGGTGTGAATATTTAGAATTTGTAGAACTCTTCTGTCTGAAAATGCCAGCAAACTACTATTCACTCTCCATATATGACAGGAAGATTGTGGCAAACAAACAAGTATAAAAATACTGTGCAAATGTAAGACTGGTACTAACATTATCCTACACATATCTCTAACTAACAAGGAATTTTCCATTTCATTTCAATTAAATGAAATATTTTAGAAAAACTGGAAGATATAAATACTAAGTTAATTATAAAAACTGACAGTATTACATAATTTTTAAAACAATTAAGGTGAAAAAGCATTGATATATGACAATTTTTATCTTTTGCTGAGATATATACAATGAACAGTACAAGTAAAAATCATTTGGTAACAGAAAAGCAGACTAATTTAATCATGCTGTTGTTTTAAAGAAGTATACCTACTTACCAACAAGTCTTACTACATTCAATGTTGTATTTGTTAAGATGGGTGCATTCACTTTATTTAGACTGTAATCTGATTTCTTCCTGCTTTTTAAAGTTTCTCGAGAAACGCTTTACATAGGGAAAAAAAAACACACAATTCCAATTATGGTTGTCAAAGTAGTATATAGACTTGAGAGAGAACAAATGTGTTCAGAATAATTGAAGCAGTTCATAATACAAGCTTATATAATGAAAAAGTAGGAAGGAAATGTGACAAGAACGTAGCTAAGAACACTGAGAACAATCAAACCTAGGGAGTATGAACCTTACCTTGAATTCAGAGGAGACCATTAATGACAACAGGAAAACAACAGGATCAAATTTATATGTAGAAAAAACATTTAGATTTGTATTTAAAAATGGTTTGGAAGGGGGAAGACTAGATATGTGAAGCCAGGGCAAGGGGGTTGATTCAATAATTTGGTACAGAGATTATTTTAGCATGGTCTAGGGGATGGGGGAAGCATTGCAGGGAGGGGTAGTAGCAAAATAAAAACTGATTTATTCATGAAACATTTAGAAACTGGATTTAATAGTAACTACTGGCTGTAGTCAGTAATTCATATTAGTCATACTTTTTAGGAGCAAGTTAAGGCTACTTAGAAATCTGTATAACTCTACTGAAAATCCAAATATAATCACATATATTGGTAGATACTATCTTACTTGTTCATTTCAACTCATTTAAAACTTAACTTTGAGCCAAAATATACCCAAGACATATCTAATGAAGAAGTCCAATAAAACAGTTTTACTCAGTTCTAATGGAACTCAAATGCAGTTACTTAAAATTGTATCTGCGGCTATATGAATTATTCACTTTGCAGAAGAGAATTATATCAATCATGGTTTCAAACCAATCAAGTATTAAGTAGGTACTTTAAGGGAAAAGTATTATTTAATTCTATTTTAAGAATTTATTCCTAAATGTCTGACCATCAGATATTAACTCACATATCAGCATTATGCCTATTTAACTCAAAGGTGACAAAAAATTCTTGTATAATTATCATGGTTTTCAAAAAGGGCAGTTTATTATAAAACAAAAGTCAACTACAAAATATAAGGCAACTTAATAGCACAAATGGTTAAAAAAAAAAAAAAATAAGACCTTGAGGAGGTAAGTGAAAACTAGATTGAGGCAAAAATTCAACTTACAAAACAAGGAGCTACTTTCTCCTTGAGGTTTTCTGGTCTATGCAAAACAAATTGTCCCTAAAAGGTGAAAATGATTTTTTAAGTTGAAAGTTTGCTTTTCTGAAAAAAAAAAATCACTGTTCCCTAAATTAAGGGTTATTTAATTATACCAAATATCAAAAAACTACATTTTAGCCTTTAAGAAATCATTCTTTTTCAAAAATATCAATTTCTGTCATATGACATTAAGCCAAGAGAAAGAATTTTGAATTTTTATTCTTTTTTAATCTTTGAAGAAATGCCGTATGTTAAACGTTGAATGTTCATATACATCGCCTATACATTAATATTAATATATGTCCAGCATGAGACATAAAATATAAAAGACCATCCAATCTAAGAACAATTACCTCTTCACAGGAGCATCACCTGTCTGTTCATCCACATAATCTCGTTTTAGTTCCTCTGGAACGTCACTGTCACTGTCATACTCCTGATAGGCACTTTTTTCTTGTTCATCAGATTCATACTGAAGAAAAAAAACAGTACATTCAACAACAGATGTGAAAAGCCAAAATTTTTTGAAGTCTTCCAACACAGCTAAAGTACTCAATTTCATAAGAAGTAGTTTAAAGAAGGAAGTTCTTAATAATTTTAATTTGGTCACAAAGAAACATTAACTTTCCATTTTTTCATCACCCAACCATAACCAACTCAGAACGAAAATAAAATATCATACCTATGAAAGGCTTTTAAATATTAAAAAACAAAATTTCCATACAAAGAAAATCAGCAAATACACTGAAAATCTTATAAGAGAGTATATCTGAATAAAAATATTATTTTTCCTCCTGGTGGTTTATTTCCAATTTGTTAATTCATTATAAAGAGGTCGTGTACCTAATTCTGGCACTCTGGAAGTGTTAATTCAGCTTACTAAACCTACAACACACATGATGATGTTCTAACTCATTTTGATGAGATTTAATTCCAAGGGAAACTTACAAAATTAGGCTTAGCACCAGAGGATGACTAAGAACAAAGTCAAAAAATGATGAATTTACTATTGTGAGGAAAGGTGCCTTCCTAATATTTTCATCATCTTTGTGACACCACGACTCAATGCCAGCATAAAGTGGACAGTGGAGTCCATGTAGGGCAAAGTAAGCAATGGCAGTGGTACAGCCATCATCACTATCATCAATTAATAGATTATAGATTTAATATTAAATGGATGGCTAACGTTTGATGAGTTAACCAATTACTGTACTAAGTGCCATCACGAATTATTCCACCGGATTGTCAATACAATTTTGTAAGGATGTTTTACTTGCAACATCCCAGTTGAAGAGACCAGTATGATGACGACATGGAAAGCTCTCCTTATTTGACAACTATTTTTAGAGACTCAAGCATTAGAACAGCCACATTAAGAAAAGGATCCTCTCAGGACTTATGCTGTACCTGGAAAGATTAGATCACACATCAATTACTGCAAACGAGCTCAAGAAGCATTCTCTCCGACTTGAACACCATGTAAATCTGATGAGAGCCAGGAAGCTGTTCTATACAACCTAGAATCTCCCAGTTATAACAACAGACTTCATGACTCCATAGTACAACAGATCCTAATTTTTGAAGATGCTATTTGCAAAATTTCCCTATTCACTAAATTTGTACCCTCCAAATTAACACTTCACAATACTTTCATGGACATTCATAGATATGTGCAGAGAGAGAAAAAAAACTTTTGAGTCGTCCAGAATGCATATTCTACTGTAGGCACACAGGTACACTGCTTTCCTGCTTCTCATCTCATATCAAAAACAAGTGAGCTTCTCCATTTAGTGGCACAGTTCTTGAATTTTTGTCTTTTGTTGGGTATTTTGCTGTTTATAAAGGACTGTAAATGTATTTCTAGAGTGCTTGCTAGAATTCCTAAGAGCAAAAAAACGAAAAGTGTGCCTTAGGGGAAAAATCCAAGTGTTAGATAAGCTTTATTCAACATGAGTTATACTGTTGTTGGCAATGAATTCAAAGTTAATGAATCAATATTAAATATTAAACTAGGTGTCTTTAAGCAAAAACACACACAAAAAAAGGATAGACATCGACCAACTAATGAAAACATTCTAACAGGGCTTCAAAGGAACTCATTCCTACATTTTACCTAGAACAATGGTTTAGTGTTTGCTACTTCAGTGTTCATAGTAAATTTATAGAGCACAACTTGACATAATGGGAACTGATGTGAGATTTAAATTAACAAATCACACCAAATAAAGGAATATAATTTTTATAAACTGGGATAAACTTTAAACTCCTTTTAGTTTAGTCTGCATTACAGAAGCAAAATGTCCCAAAGGATCACTGAACTATATTTAAATATAGTTGACTATGAAATAATTTCTATTTCATAATAAAGCAGGACAACAGCAATATGTATAAAAATATACCTTCACTAAACAAAAAAAAAATGTCAAAATTAAAATAAAGAAATAAAGTCAACAGATTTTTGTCAAACCTGAACATTTTAACCTCAACTTCAGTTATGTCTCTCTGGAGTACTTAACTGTGAAGTAAGCATTGCCCTCATTGTAAATGCAGGGAAACTGAGAGTCATAAATTTGCCAACACAACTAGTAAACTAGGTGATATTCATTGCCAACACAACTAGTAAACTAGGTGATATTCATTCATCTGTCTTCAAGCCTTTACTAATAACTCACACTACCTCTAGTTAATTGGCTTTTGGGCTTCTCTAAGTATTTTAAAATATTGTGCTTTCAAATCCTAAAACATCTTGCTATGTAACAGTAGCCTCTTACAGATAAATGATGACAGATAACATTCCATTGCACATTTACACTTTGTTTATCCATTCATCTATTGGTGGACATTTACATTATTCACACCTTATTATGAATAACACGGTTATAAATATTGGTGTTCAAATTCAAAAAAAGAAAAAAAATGGAACAAGAAGACTCATTTAGTTACCCAGGAGTGAAGCTGAGAAAAAAATGCAGATGATCTAGTTCCTCTTTTATCTATATTCAATAAATTATATGAATATGCATTAAATTAATGATACTACTACTCAATCAGTGATCTAGTAGAACATAAAGCCAATATAAAGGCAAAATGTATCTTTCAAGAGGACACATGTCAACAAAGCTATTGTGAAGTCATTCTTCTACATCTAATAGCACAACACATAAGTGTGTAACTATAGATCAGAAAGCATGGTGAATGGATAAATACAGCATTTGCTTACTAGGTAGGACAATTTACAATGAAAATACCTCATTATGCATCACATACCCCATTAGAAGCCAGAACATCTTCTGTTTCTTCATCTTTTTGGTTGGCCTGAATTTCAAATGGATTCCCACCATTGCAGTATTGCTCAAACAAGGTCACAGTTTTTGAGGAAGTTGAGACTGACTGCTTACTAGGTGAAACTGATGGGGAACGAGTCTGCTCCATAAATTTAAATTCCTGAGCATTGAAAAAGGAGACAATTCAGCAACACAATCAAGTTCATATACATAAACATATTTCATCAATGTAAATGTAGTTATTTAAAAAAACCAATATTTATTCTTCATGTTATTCACTTTTAAACACTGCAAGTTCTCTGAAAGTAAACTTTGTAAAAAGAAGTTCAAAGGTTTCTCTAATTCAATCATTGGTATCATTTAAAACAGTGTTACCTGCACCAAACTAACTTCTGGCTTACTACTTTACAGGTCAGCTTAAGAAGTTCTTGGAAATAAGAAATCTGAGTGATAAAAACATCAACATGGCAGCAAAAGTACCAGTAACATATGGTTCAATACAGTCATTTATAAAAATCTAATCGTTAAGTCAAACACCTTGCATATTTGCATAATTATGTTATTTAAGATATCTTTGCAAATACAAAAAACCTAATAGGGATATATCTTAATCACATTAATCTCCATAAATTTTCATTTATTTTTCTTCATTTACCAAGTGGCAGACAACACAAACACACATGGTGAAGTCAGGCAAGGAGTCTTTAAGTTCTAGTTTATTAACCCATTACATCCCATTAACTTTTCACATGTTGCTAGAGATGTCACCTGGCTTGTCTGTGCTTCAATTTCCTTATGTAAAATGAGAAGGCCAATATACAGTGAGAGAATCACTAATGCTAAAGTTCAAGAGATGTAGCATTCTGCATTACCCAGAGAAAGAAAACTCAGGCAGCCTGAAGGAGTTCAATGTTAAGTTCAAGTTCATGCAGTTAGTTATATAAAGAGCTAGCTAGTGTCTGACATTACTTTGAACTACAAAACTCTTGATATTTTTTCACAAAAAAATATTTAGTACACATTTTACTTATATTCTTAAATCCTTTTAATATTATAATCCTAAATTAAACATTTTCTTTTATTCAGTAATCTTCCTTTGCCTTAAATTTATTTGCTTGTTAAGTTTCAAATGATGTGCTTCTTTTTAAAGTGAAACTACACATTAAAACATATCCACCATGTTATTGACATTATTGTTATAATTCTAAGAATAACTTTAAATGAAGGAGACAAATTTTTTAAAAATGCAATCTATAGAGCTATATGTATTAAGTATTAATGCATTAAACTCTAAATTATTAAGTTTCCAAAGTATCTATTTTATTTATGGTAGTCAGAATATTTAATGACTTCTATCTATCCTCTTAGAAAGCTTTTTAAATGCATACTTCATAACTGTTAAGTATATAGTAGAGCTCTGGAATTTATTTATCGTGCACAATTGAAACCTTTTGTTTCAAAAGTAATGCTGGCTTGGATGAACATATTTCAGTGTACGTGGTAAAGTTTTTTTTATAATTACATCAAATATGTGTGTATGTATACGTGTACAACTTTGATAATAAATACAAATTCAAGTATTTCAATAGGCAGTCTAAAATGAATGTTAGAAGTACATGTAATATTAAGAAATTGGTTTAAGGATGAAAAATTAATGTTAACATTATTGTCTTTAAAACATTTATTAATAAACATGTTTCAGACAAATATTTCTAGACTAGGAAAACAATGATAGAAGAGGATAAGAAGTAAGCTTCTCTATGACAGACACAAAGATTATCCTTCAGTAAAATACTTAAATTATAAACTAATTTTGTAAAAATTTAACATTCATTCAAGTATCACCTTTAAAAGATAATTATTAATAAAAAGGCACTACTTCTTATTTTATAAATGCTTTCATACGGTCATTTCACATAGATGCATTTTTTTAAGGTAAATAAAACAGACTTATTTGTTCTTGAAAAACACTTACATGAAGTTGCAAGATGCTAAAATTTGACTTAACAGGACAAAGTTCCCAGGTCTCATTCTCTAAAAACATTCTCAGCTCATCAAGCCGTGTCCTTAAAAAAAATAAAGTAAAAGTGAACACTCCAAAAACTAAAAAGTATACTGTACACAAGAATTAAATAAATAAAATACAATTATAGGACTATCATTTTGATCATAATCAATACTCAGAACTCATTCAGACCAATACAGTAAACACAAACTTCATTTGTTAATCCTTTATTGTCCTCAAGAAATAAAATCTCTCAAATGTTTACTAAATTCAAGATTTTTTACTATATTGAAAAATAATGAATATATAAGAAATAATATTTTTTTATTAAGGAATGAAACTAAAAGCTACTCATCAATTCATGTATTTAAAATATAGTTAGCTAGTCAAATATCAATGCCAAAACACAAAAATTTTACAGGGCTTATGAGATCACAAATACTAATAAATGTTTTACATTAAACAGCATAGATCTTTTTTAATAAGCTATAATACCAAGATGATTATCACCTTCCAAATATATTTAGCTCAGTGCCTATCTCCACACAGCATTTATAAATTAAACTAGCAAGTAGGTCACATGTATCAACACCACTCTAATAATCACTATGTTACAATAATCTATCTGTTCTTTCTTGAATATTACTGCTCTTATTGTCTATCCTGTGTAAGATATACATTATGTAGGTAGTTCCAGAAAAATAATACTTCTGTAACAGGGTGGTCCCCAGAAAAAAGGGAGGTTCCAGATAAGCTGCCCCACCCAGGGGAGGGTAGAGCTGAGGGGAAGAGAAGATGCTAGGGAGGAGACTGAGGAGGAGGGAAGCAGGACAGAGATTAGGAAGATGACCTGGGGGAGGCACATGGATGAAGTAAAGAAGCGGCTCTTGTTTCTTGGCCCCGGACTGGTTGAAATAGATGTGGGTGACAGACCTGTGGGGTGGTTAACTTTCGCAGCACTTATCTTGATTTTGATTTTGCTCTTTTCCTCCCAGACTTGACTGGACATCTCTGACCCTTTTATATGGGTCCCCATCAGAAAGTGCATTAGACTTGTGGTAGGCTTTCAGGCCTTGCTTTGGGCCAATCTCTTTTGGGATTGGGACGGGTAACTTTGGGTGTTCAATTTAAAACTCTGTTTTCTGCCTTTTCTGTATTGCACACTAATTGTGTTAAAGTTCCTTTCCATTAAAGATCTTGTATGTCTTCTCTTGATGCTGTGGATGGCAGAACTTATTTAGAGCAGGAGGTTTGGGTGTTCAGGGGTGCCCCTCTCCCTGCCCTGTAACACTTCCATTTAATCTAGGACACAGTCAATGCCTATCCTTACCTACCCCTTCTGTAGTAAGCCTCATTGTAGTTACTACCATGCTAAATATAACTTTTTTAAAAATCCACAGCTTATAAGAGGCTATAAATGTATAAATCTGTGAAAAGCAGAAATTGTTCCAAATGTTGGCATTAACAAAGACTTTAAGATAAGGATTATAAATGAGCTAGAGAAAAAGATGTAAAAATTGTATAGAAAGGACAATTTCAAAGAACTGTACTACTAATAAAAAAAGAATCAGACACCGTATAACTAAAAATACAGTATTCGAATTAAAAACTGAAAGGATCCCAAGAGGGCAGAAGGTGGGATTAGTGAACTGGAAGACATCAATAAAATGTATCCAAACTGAAGCATAAAATGAAAAGGAAATGAAACAGAAAAGATCCTAAAAGATATGTGAGAGAGTCAACATATTTAAAATGATTCAATTTGATAGAAAAATTAGAGAATGAGCAGAATTAAGATTTGGCCCCAAAAGTGATTATGCTCATAACTTATACCCCATTCAAAATTTGACTAAAATGAATCACAGACCTAGTGCAAGAACTAAAACTGTAGGTTTATTACTATTACAGGCTACAATAAAAACAAAAATAACCCAATTGTTCAAATGGGCAAAAGACTTTAGACATTTTGTAAAGCAGTAGACAATAAACACAAAAAGATGCATTTTAGTCACTAGTGAATCTAGGAAGAGTACTGACTAAGGCACCAAAAATTCTTCCAGAGTATTAAAAAAAGTTCTATACCATAATCTGGGTCACTTATGTGGAGCACATATATGGAAAAATTCATGCAGTTTTACATTAAAATGTGTGTCACTTTATGTGTTACACTTTTAACAGTTTTTTTCCAAAAGGGAAAATTTTGATATTCTGCTCACTCCCCTCCAACTGATTTCTGAGAGAAACAGGCCCATTTTAAAGATAAGGCCACAGCGCCCCCAAGAAAAAGTCAACCCAATTGTGAGTGGTCACAGGTCATAACTAGCACAGTTGAGACGAAAGAGGAGGGGCCCTGATTTCCAAATCTTGCTCTTTTCACTGCAATATGGTTTATTCAAAGGCAAACATCTACTTATTTTTTTGACTATGAGTGATTAGTTGGTTAATATTATCCAAATTGATTCATCAAAGTCACATATCCCAAAGATATTTTATGCAATTTAAGATTTACAGTTCACTCTTTCATTTTTACTCTACTAATATGCTAAAAGAAAAGCAGTTGGAGTACAAAATGTAATCAGAAGTTGAATAACAGAATTGACAACAGTCATAAAATTACAGAAAGCAATCCTGATTATCGCTATTTAAGTATTTCAGGTGCTACCTATTTCTTTAAGAAACAAGCTAGAAACAGGAAACAAAGAACCTTCTTTGATATATAAAACTGTTACAATTAAAATAAATTAAAGAGATTTCAGTGGGCAAATACAGTGAAGAAATTATAACTGATCTACAAAATATCTCAAATATGTTTATTTACAAATTGACGGGAAATGTCAATGAAATAGAACTGTATGAAACCTAGCTCATCTTCTTAACCTGATTAGAGGCTGGAAACAATGGAAGCAGGTTTCAAAAAATGAATGCTAAAATCACAGGCTTTAAAGAAGGTAGAGTATCTGATATGAACCTTTTACCTACTTAAGAAGTTGATATTCAGAGAAGTAAGAAACTGGTTAAAATTACAAACGGTGAAGATGGTGAGTGGAACAATAGCGACTGGAACCCAAACACTGTACCAACAGGAAGAAAACTATAAATCAATAACAACAATATAAACTAAGACAAGTTTATTAGTAACCTACCCACTACTGCTTATGTATTGTAGAGGCAGTGGCCTAAATATGATATACACTATAAAAACAGTGACTTAAGTACGATATACACTATAAAAAGTTGTCTCTTTTGTTTTGGCTTTAAATCCAAATCTTAAGCTCTCTTATTTAACAGAGATGGAAAATATTATCACTTTTATAAAATCTAATTTTCAATAAAATATTTTAAATATTTAAATACACTTATAAATTGTATTTCAACAAATAAAACTGGTATCCTTATCAGTAAATCCAAGACAATTTGTTTTCTAAAATCATATATATTTTCCTAGCAAAGAAAGTTGCAACAGTATCTTCTATCCCACACATAGGCTCTTCTATTACATGACGATAACACGCCATTATAAATACTGTGTAGTTATCCTTCTCTTGAATCTGAGCCAGGCTGATGACTTGCTTATATTCCATGGAATGTGGTAGAAGAACGACATGACTTTGCAACTGATATCAGAAAACGCTAAAACCTCTATTTTTATTTATTTATTTATTTTTTTTTTTTTTTTTGGAAAATTAGTTCTCTGGGAAGCTACCATATAAAAAGTAAAATAACCCTGTAAACCATACTTAAGGGTCCACATGTAGGCATTCTGACTAACCAATCCAGCTGGGAACATCTTTCTAGCCATATCTACCAACATGCAAATGAAGCCATCATTATTCTCCAAAGAAACCCTTCCATCAGCTGAGTGCTCTTTAGTGTCATCAGTCAGTGCTGTAAGGAAAAGAATCTCTATATTGAGCCTTGCTTACATGATGCTAAAAGAAATGATAAAATGGTAGGTGATTTTAAGTCCAGTAAGTTTCAAACAGTTTTATAGAATAGTAACTAGAACAAATACTTGGACACTTAAATTGAAGCATATATATATTTACTAGCCTTTTATTCTAGTATCTTTTCTAAGATCTTTTATAAAACAATGAAAAGTATTGATAATGTATTATTACTCTGACACCTTGACCAAACCAGCCTACTAGGCAGAGAATATTTGGGAGGAAAGTGGAAAATAAGCAAGTTAGTCCTAAAAGATCTGAGGCCCAATATTTTAAAAAGAAGAGATACTAATATTAAATCACTGGAATTGGCTCTAGGCAGAAGAGAAAGACAATAAACTTGATCTTAAAAACTAGTGTTTTATAGATACTTAAAAGAATAAGTCTTATTATTCAGATAAGAAAAAAGCATTTCCCCCTAAAATGAATGGTGACCTCTATCCTGTCTAACAGCAGTTGATGTACTTCTAGGACACCTGCAAGTATTTTATAAATTTTCATTGTTATAGAGTAATTAAAACATAAAATATACTTGCTATATAGAATGTTTTAGCAATTATGAATTTTTACATAGTTTTTACGTTCTCACATAAACTCACTTAAGTTCATCCTAGAAAAAAGATAATGACAAGAAAGCTTTTATACAGCTACCACAAACAAGCAAAGTGAGAACAAGCTATGGAACATGTTCCACCGATAGTAAATTGGTTCAGATTTCAACAAAACAATTCAATTTTTATTATGTATATATCTTCTAACCAGCAGCCTATATAGATTCAAACAAAGTCAGAGTAACCTGGCTCAGCAATTTCATTTTATATTCTTTTTCCAGTATTATGCAGTATGAATTGGTGGAAGACTCACCACTGGCTAATATAATGTATGTATGTATGTATGTATGTACGTATATATACACACACACTGGCATCATCTCTAAATCGCCTGTCAACTTTATCTTCCTTTATACAGAAACAGATGTACTTCAGTGCATACTGATAGCTTTTATTATTTTTCCAAATGGCATTATTAAAGAGATAATGACTACAGCAACATAGAAACTAGATTGGCTTAAGAACTCTCTTTAAACCCTGGGGAAAGAGAAAAGTACTAAAACAAAGAAATTAAATCTTTTAACCTATCCCAATTTTTATAATATACAGAGCAACAAGAAAAGGGACAAGATCTTCAGGCAACACTTACTGAGACATTTTGTCCTGCTACCTCATTTTATAGTTGATAGGACATAGTCTAGAGAGGCTAAATTACCTGTCCAATGTCAGAGCTAGCAGGTGAGGTAAGATTTTTTTATCTACCGTGTCTCCCAGTATAGCTCTCCTTTTAATAATATAATGCAGTCTCTTAAAGGGGAAAAAAATTTCACAAATGTTTCTAAATGAAAGTCATTTAAAATGTTGAATGTTTTCAAAGTATTCAAATAATTTATTTCTATATTTTTAAATTTTATCAAGATTACATTTGTTAGTAACTATTACAAGTAAAAACCAAAATCATGAGGCAACTACAGATCAGAGACATTCTTAGGGGAGGAGGAGGAAGAAGGATCAGGCCAGGATTGAGAAGAACACAAGCAACTATGGTGATGGTGTCTGGGGGAACTGGTGGTAGGAATTTCATGGGAAAACCATACATTGCACAAAAATGAAAGATGATATGAACTATATATATATATCAAACAAAAAGATTATGTTTTGTTATGAATGTATTAAGTAATGTATTTAATACATTATTAAATAATGTACTTAATAGTTTACAATTAACACTGGAAACTTGCACTGCCTCTATGACTTAACTTTCTTACTCATTTACACCATATTTGTAGGCCTCTAAGTGGCCCAATTCTTTTGGTGAACTTTGATCTAAAAATCACCTTTCATCCATAAAGAAATCAATTTAATATTTAGTTCAACTTAGAGCTCTTTCAAAAAAATATTAAAATTCACAATAAATAATGACAATTTTTAAAAACATTGTTCATTAAAAAAAAACTAACAATCCTAAATAGAGACACAAAGAACAATTCAAATTCAAAGTAGATTTTTTAAATAAAACAATATTAATGTTATAAGATTAAGTATTAGACAAAAGTATTCTCATTACCCAAATTAGTCAATTCATCTTTTAATACAGTTCTTACCTATGATAGTTCTTAAAGTAATTGACACTCTGTTTTCTAATAGACTCTTGCAAAACTTCAGATTTACTACCACAAAATTCTTCTCCAACCTGCATCAACCTAGTTGGACAAAAAAAAAAGTTTATACACATTTTAGCAAGATTTTTTTTTAAGATTTTTTGAAATTTATTTGTGTATACAGAAATGAGGTACAGGCCAAAGGTGCAGGAGCAGTGAGAGGATTCACCAGAGACAGAGTGGGGAGCACAACAGGCAGATGGACAAAGTACACTGCTGAGGGGAGCAGCTGGCAAGACAGGAGAGGTCTGCTTCTGCACCATGTGGATCACCTCCCGGGCAGAGACTGAACTCACACTGAAACAGCCAAGGCTTGGCTTAGTTTTGCAGTGCAGTGCTCAACCCGCTGTTTCACCAGGGAGGACCCACAATATTCTTATTATAGAAAAAAAAAAGTACAGATTACCTTTTTTTCAAAAAGGACAAATCATTAAAAAAAATTTAAGGTCTAGAAAGACTCTAAAAATCACAAATCTATTATGGTTTATAAACATCTAATTTTAGATATTTTTAGATGCAAAATATTTAAAGATAAAAACAGCAAAAATTAAACATGAATGTTAAATATCTTCATTTCCATGAAGAAGTTATAAATAACTCATTTGCTTATGGTTTTATTATGACTGAATAAATCAAACTAAAAAATAAGATGATCTCAAACACTACCTGCTGATTATATCCAGAACAAAGATGAAATCATCATATTTGAATATAGACAAATCAGTTCCAAGCAAGTAAGTTTTTACTTTTAGCTGAACATCCTATGAGACAAAAAGAAAAGTATTTCAAGTATATCCAAATTATATAAAAACAAGTTCTTTGAACCATTTATTTTACAGTTACACATTGGCATGAGATAGGAATATATTCTATGTGTACCAAAGAATAGATTATATTTCTTAATGGTGATATAATAAATTTCCATGAACATCTGATATAAAAATAATGGGCACAATCATCACTAATAACACAGATACACACAAGTGACAGATGTGAATATCCTCACACTGGATATGACTATAAAAGTTATTATTTGTTTTTGTTAAAGATTTACTGATGTATGTACTGGGGTACAGGCCAGCGGTGTGGGGTAAGGGGTGGTGGTGGTGAGAAAATTCACCAGACTCAGGAGCAGACAGGCAGATAGAGTTAAGTGCATTGCTGAGGGGAACAACAGATGGGTCAGGGGAGGTCTGCCACACCATTGGGGTCATCTCCTGGGTTGGGAATTGAACTTGCATTGCAGTGGCTGCAGACAGATTCATAGCACTGTGCTTTAAATCGCTGGGCCACCAGGGAAGGCCTAAAGTTATCATTAATTAATGGCTTGGTGGGCTAGAAACATTCCAATTAAATTAAAATTGATAATTTTGTGAAATTACATATAATTTATAAAAAATTAAAAGTTTTCATATATGCCTGTATAGCACCTTAAAATAGATACTATTTTATAAATATTAAAAACTAGGAATAAATTTAATAAGAAATATCAGACCTAGAAGAAAAAACAATAAACAACTCTAATGGAGAACAAAAGAAATTTGACTAAGTTGAGAGGCAAAGGATTGGTGACTAAATAAGGATTTCAATTTTTCCAATTTAATGTAGATTTGATGAAACTATAAGCAATTCACAACAAAAGCTTTTCTTCTGAACATTTATTCTAAAATTCATAAGAATAAACAAATTTTGAAAAATAAAGTTTTCAAAAGATGGGAGTTAAAATTGTAAGTGATGTTGGAGGACTTAAACTATCCATATTGAATATAGTAAAAACATTTTAAAAATAATATTAGCAATATAAAAAGCAGTGGAATAGGACGAATAACCCAGAATAATGTTAATGTGTGTGTGCATGTTGTGTGTGTGTGTATGTGTGTGTGTATATGTATTAGAACTTAATTAACTCAATAAAAATCTCCAGCTTTCTAATTTTTTGTTAACAAATTTTATATTAAGATCTTTATATATTATCTTTAATCCTAGGACAGCCCTATTGAGAGAAATTTATTACATTGAGCCCTCTAAAAAAAAGGTCAGGTAATTTTAAAGTTCACATGCCCAGTAAATGACATACTAAGATGAACTTAAGTTTTTCTGGACTGAAAGCCTCCACTTTTCTCTGTAACATGCTACAGGAGACATCACAAAGGAAGAAAAAAGATTATCCAAAAAGCAGAGGGAAAACTGATGAGACCTGAGGGAAGGAAAAAATCCTCTCTTTACATCATATAACCATTATCAAAATAAATATAAAACAAATAAGTGTTCAAAAGATTAAAAATTAAAATTCAACCAACTAAAAATATTTTCTATTTCCTTTTTAGGGGTTCCAGGAAGACTCAAGGTATTAGGCATATAGCAATTTACATGAAATTTAGGTAACTGTAATTACCAGGTGGATATTTACCCAAACTTTATATAGAAAAGAACATTTTAAGAGCAAATGTAATATAAGTTACAGTATGACCTCATAAGAATGTTAATCATCTACATATCAAAAGTAAATTAAGTGAAATAGACATATGCTATATAGAGAACTACTAATTATTACATAACTCATTTATATTCTATCACCAAGGAACATAAATAATAATTAATAGGGTTTTAAATTTCAGTTCTCTTATAGGGTGTGAGGTATGACTTTAAAAATTAATAAAAAATATAAACAGATTAAGCTGCCTTATTAAAAGATAAAGTCACTCTCAAATGGTTTTTATACTTATAGGAGACACAACTAAATCATAATTCAAAAAACATTTAAAACAAAGATCTAGTCAAAGATTTATCAAGCAAATATGAACAAAATAGACACAAAAGTAGTAATAGTATCAAGCAAATCTGAATTCATGACAAAGTGACTCAGAACAAAAGAGTTACGTTTGTAATTAATGAAGGGAATTAAGTACAAAGAAGGTAATACGCTTACTAGTAGTGCACCGTCAATCAACACAACATCCAGGTAGGAAAATCAAAAGTTGTTAAAGAAAAACCTGACAAAACTGTAATTGCTGCAGAAAACAAAAAACTCTCCCTCAAAAATGCACAAACCAAGAAACAACAAATACCATAGGTTAGAATAAAGCAGTAAGTTGTAAGTTTTAGTTAATAGACATATAAAATCTAATTCCCAACACAACTAATAAACATATGATTATTTTTTAAATGCCAAAAAAAGAATTTAAAAGTGGTTGATATATTAGGATGTAAATAAAATCTTAAATTCACAAAAGAAATACCTGCAAGCCCAATTCTCTCCAATAAAAAGAAATGGATATCAGTATTTTTAAAATGTCATTTCTTAATACCAAATATTTAACAATGAAAGAAAATTTTGGAAAACCAAGATTTCATCATTAGATGTACAAACTTCATGAGTTGAAGGCCATGGATTTATCACCATTAGTCTCAAATCTACAGTGTTTGCCACATAGTATGACTAATAGTCTTTTTTCTTAAAGATGCTAGTTGAAGTAAAATACATTGGAAATTTTTCACACCAGTAAAATCTTTTTCATATCAAAACAAAGTGATTAGATTTTGAGTTTATTTTTATGTCAGAATGGCTCAATATCTTCTTATGATTTTCAATCTTTTTTTTTTCATTATCTCTACAACTAATGAATTTTTGATAAATGTCTAAAAATTATCACATGCATCTATGCTTTGGAATTTGGGGTTTTGATTGCTAGAAATATATTATGATATGTATAACATCCCCAGTGAGGATTAGGGCAGTATCTTAAAATAAATATATGAATATTCCTGCAACATATGAATGTTCACTTCAATGGGAAAAATAAATACTTTTGAAAGGATAACAACAGTACTGGCCAGGTTCTATTGCCAACTGAACTGCTAACCTTAATCTAATTCAGATCAATTTAAGGCCTATAATTTCCTGCTAATTGTAGTATTAAAAAACATTTGTTTTGCAGAGCTTTGCTTTCTTCAATTGCACTGAGCCTTGCAATTTCAATTAAACATCCTATAAGTTCCAAAAATATACATAGTCCTATTCTAGAACTTCTCAAGAATTTGGGTTAAGGGTGCATTAAGATCTTGGAAGAGGTGGAGATGAAAGATGTTCTACAATTTGAAACCTATAATACAATAATCTATAGTCAAACTATGATAATTTCCATTAAACTGATCAGATGATAGAATAGCTTTACTGAATGTAAACTTAGCAGATTTTCCTATATGAGAGATGATATCAGGTTGTCAGACTAAATGGATAGTCATGTAAAATGCCAGTTGAATATTTCACAGTACACCAAATATTTCAAAGTACAATTTCAACTATGTACCGTAAAAGTCTACTAAGAGATTGTTGGAAATACAGCTGATCTTGAATGTATATTCAATGAATAAAAGCTTTCCTTTTCCACATTACATAACATTCTATAAAAAGTAATCCTCAAATTCACAATCAGTGGTAAATTAAAATATTAGTTTAATATGGCTAGATCAAGAAATATAGAAGTCAAAGCTTTTACAACTATTATATACATTCTAAATATTAAAATATAAATTCAAATACCATATCCAATGAAGCTATGAAAATCAGAAAACCACAAAAGTATAACTGTTTATTTATTCTTGAGGAAATCTGTTTCCAGTGTATATTTTCCTAAACATTTCCTTGAAAAGAATCCCTAGAAAAGATTTCCAAAGCCCAGAATTATCTTTAAAGAAATTTTACTTTTATCTAGTAAGTAAAAACTTTAACAAATAAATTTATATTTTTATATATTTTACCTCAAAAGAAAATTAAGAAACTTCATTTACCCAATAAATAGGTAAAGCTCTCCTGCAAGGCACAAAAATCACTGGTTTAAAAAACAATTCTTCACTCTCTAACTAGATTCCAACCCAAGTAAGTCACCTATTTAATCAACCTATTTTCTAAAATTAATGAGAAATAAAGTGAAAACACAAATAAAAACAAGCAGAGTAACTCAGTAACTTTTACATGTAAGTTCCTACTATACTTGTAAAAAATAACTTTAAAAAAACCAAACCTGCCATATTCGTGTAAGTCCATGTTCTAATTTCTTCTTTATGTAACCACGGTCAAAATTAGTTTCTTCAGTTATATTACTCCCTTCTTAAAATAAAAAAAAAAAAAGATGGTACACATTTAGATTTGCTTCACAATGTTTCTGTTTAAAAAACATTTAACATATGAGATTCTAATCTCATATGTTATTAAACTATATAAACTACAGGTGTTCTTAACATTTATACAACCAAAACAATGTCAAAAAGCAAGTATTAGCATTACACCTGTATGGTAAGGTAAACCCTGAAAAGTTAACTAGTATACTCTCAGTTCCTATGTGATTGAAGCTGGGAAGTGTAATTTCAGAGATGAGGTTCTCAATGATTCATATACTACCTACTGCTTATTACAGAGTCAATTAAACCAATTATTAAAAATTATGCATATGTTAACCATAGTATAGATACAGAACTTATCATGTAGTGAAGTAATAGTGCATACTTTTATATTTTTCAAGGTTCAGAATAGCTTTACTCCACTATGGATAAATAATCTAACAATGTTCAGTTCAAAGGTAAGCTTAGTGACCCATCTCTAAACAAATCTCCCACCAAAAAAAAAAAAACAAAACTGAAAATACATGTAAACATGTATTGCAAAAATATTATGCTTTTGTGTGACTACAGTATCTTAAACAACAGATTTTATTTCATTTTAGGTTAGCAGGGTATCTATCTAATGATAACCAATAAAAGCTTCCTGCTTAAAGGAGAAGTCAAATCCATGTCTAGTGTAAGTTTGAACACTCTTTAGCTCAATAAGCCTTCTGATATGTATGGTCTGACTTAGGAACTCAGCAGTTCAGTGTAGTGAGCTGCACTTAAACTACAGCTTTACAAGTTTGAGTTTACAGTGGTAAAATGTTTGGATACCAGTCACATCACTACAGATGATGAAAAACAGCAGATAAACTCAAGTCCCTTTTACCTTTATGAAGTTCTGTAAAAAGTAACTTAACAATTTATTGATTCCCACAATTGTATTCCTTACTGTGAACATGAAAGGAAAACTTCAAGCAACATTTTAGAGTCCTAGAAATGTCAACTAATCGCTACCAGTTGCTCAGTCTATTACTCAGAGTCTAAAATATTCTTAAAACACAGAAATTAATTAGGGTAGGAATTAATAAAGAAGACAATTATAAAGGCTCTAAAACAGTTTCAAATTTCTATACCCCAGTGAAAATACATAGATATAAACATATATACACACATACAAAATACATCTATACTATTAGCCTGAAGCAAGTTCAACCATGATAAATATAATTTTTGTTCACTAAATTCTTACACCTGAAGTGTTAATAACTTGTCTTATGATTTCTCTTTTAATAATGTGATAGAAAAGGAAAAATGAGTTAATTAAATGTCAAAAAAATTTCCAAATCTAGAAAAAAATGAAGGTTGCCAAAGTAGGATAAACTTTATTGAAAAGAAAGTCTGGAATTCCCTACACAACTGGGAACTTCAACAAAAAGGTTTATGGACATTTCATTGTTATTATAATCACCTCTTTATCCATTTGCTTTGATGAAATTAATGACCACCTTTGTAAATACTATTATGTTTTCTCTATACTTTACAGTAACTCTATAGGTAGATGTGTTACCATCCTACAGAATTCTTGTTTTAGTTTTTAACCTGTTATTTTTAACCTAGCATTTTGAGAAGCAAACTGATCTGAAGAAGTAAACTCTCCTTACCTCTTCCTTTAGTTTCAGCAGTCAAAATCTGAAGTCAGTTATATCTAATTACAAACTTCACAGTATTGGAGGTGGTTCAGGGATCAGAACAGTATTGGCACTGAGTAAAAAAATTCTGGAGAACTGGTTTAATACCTACCCACTTTCTCCTTTTCTTTTCCCCCACACAATATACGTAAAAAAAAATGAATATTCTCCACAGAATTTCCCTGTTATTTTTTTACTCTTTATATTTATGAATGTCTAGTGAATCAAGACGAGTATTAAATGTATGTTTTCCTTCCCACCAAAATCCTATGCTTAAAATAAATAGGACTTAGGCTTTCCTCCACAACTCAAGCACAGAAACCACGTACCTCAACAATTAGAAAGTACTAAAATAACTTAATCAGCTACACTAAATGATATGCAGTACAAAAAAATTGTTGTAAATTAACTTTGCCATTATTAAATGAAATGCTGATAAAATAATTTATTACTTCTATAATTCTTTTAAATACTTAATCTTAGCTGTTTTAGTTGCTCAAGTACAATCACTTAAGATATTTAACAAGCAAATTAACTAGTTTAATACAATACCAAACCAATATAATTTCTCACAGATTTGTCCTTCAATTAGCTGACTACAGCATAATCATTTAAAGTTTTTTTCTCTTTGCATAGAACTGGAGTACAGGCCAGAGGTGCAGGGTGTCAGAAGATTCACTGGAGAGAGAATGAGGAACAGAACAGACAGATTTACTGAAATACACTGCTGGGGGGAAAAGGTGGCGAGACAGGAGCGGTCTGCCGTGCCATATATGGATTATCTTCCTGGCCAGGGATTGAACTCAGGCCACAGTGGTGATAGTGTTGAGACTTAACTCCTATGCCACCAGGGTGGCCCTAAAGTTTATTTTTCATTCAAAGATGAATATTTTAAAATATCATTTTTATGAAATTTCAAGTACTCCTGTTTTCAGAATTTCAATACAGTATGAACTATTAATTTTAGAATCTAATTTTATTAGTACATCTTGAAAGTTAGCACGAGATTTAATATTAAACATTTAACATTAATATTAATAGTTACTTTGGACAGAGCAGTATCCTACCTAGTTTGCAACTAATATGTTTTTTTACATTCCTTTCTCTAAATTATTCTCTAAACTAATTTAGTCCTAAGTTCATCACTACATATTCCTGACAATTGATAATGTCTATCATTAATGAAGACCTTTAGCCCATCAAAGATAATGGAGATTTTATAGTACCTGAATCATGGTCACTTACAGTCCTGAAATTCTAAAATCTGTCTCTTTTCTTTCCCCTTTTCTTCAGAGGTTTGGCATGTTTATAGTTTTGCTCTTAAATAAAAAGAAAATAATTTCCTACCAGAAGCAGAAGTTGTATCCTCATTGTCATGCTTTTCATGCCATTCCATAGTCCTGTAATAGCTGAGCATTACTTCCCACAGTGCTTTGCACAAATCAGCAAGGCAAGGAATATAGCTGTCTGGTGTAACATGCTGAAGAAAATAAGGAGAGCCAAATTTTAAAATATCATATTTATTTTAACTCAATCAAAATAAAATGTTATTAACCAAATTTGTTCAAGAATTAGAGATAACTGAGGAAATTTTTTCCACTGACATATCTAAAGAGAACATTTAGTAGCAAAACAATTTTATTCAAGTAATTTCATTTCAACATGAATCTTAGTATTCATTAAGAATATCTGCTATTACAAATCACATTATAGACACAGAATCAAAATGTGTACTAAAATTTATTGAGTTGGTTAGTGCTCTCATCAACACTTCTCATCAAAAATACATTACCCAAATGTATTTTCTCAAAAGACAAGTTTCTTAGCATGCAAACAGAGTCGTATATTCTTTGAACTTAAGTCACAACTTCCAGAAAGATCAAATTTACAACTCAATTATTTCATATATGTAAAGTAAGTACACCTTTAGCAATCTTTAAATTCCTTAAAGCACATGGATAAAAAAAAAATTCCGTATCTGACAGTAACAGAATGATGTTTTACACAACATTGTTATGAAACAACACATAGTATCAAATCTTCTCCCTAATTGAAATGCATAGATTTCTCCCTTCCATTCTTTGTTTAAAAAAAAAGGCATTCTGCTCTTTTTTCTGCAAATAGAATTTCCATTCTATTTTGCAGACTTCCATCTATCATAATGCTACCTTTTTGCTCCATAATGTGAGATCACCTGAAATTTTTTTAGTTCTTACTCAATTCATTACAATTGATCACACTGATAAAACAGTGCCAAAATAAGATTCTGATATAATTCCTTCAATTATTTCATAGTCACTAGTAGAAATAAGCTGTATAGACTGTGTAGCTATGGTATATTGATATTCATACCATAATTGACATTCATACCATAAATTGATTTGAAATTTTTTTCTCCCTTTTTTAAACTAATTTCCTAAAGTATTCATCAAAAATTAATAAAAATATTAACCTGTGTGACTCAGGGCAGTTTTGTGGAGTAAGCTTGTCAAATCTGTAAAACTCAACTAGGAAGTAGTAAAATAAAGCAACTGTAAGCTCTGGAATAAATCTTCCCAAGTGGGGTTTATGACAAGAATGGTTAATATAGTTCAATCTTATAAAACCTAAAATACAATTTGCCATTTAAAAGATCTAAAGAGAAAAACCAAACGATTATCCCAATAGATGCTGGAAATAACCCTCACAAAGTTCAACAGCCATTTCCAATAATGACTTATATAAGAAAATAAAAACTAATCAATATTCTTCAAACGAAAAAAACTTCTAAAGTATACCCACTGTGGTTGGGAACAAGGTAAGGACAGCCACTAATCTCCACTACTATTAATATTTAACAATGTTGGAGGTACTAGCCAATGTATATAAACAGAGAAAAGAGCAATAGAAAGAAGACAAAACTATTTCAATCTACATGTGACATAATAATATACTTAGAATATAATTCCTAGACAATCAATTTTAAACCTAATTCAAACAGTAAAAGAACTCAGCAAAGAAGCAGGTTATAAAACTAATGAAAAAATCAGCACTTATATACACAAATGGTTAACTATTTAAGAAATACACTAAATGTGGAATCTCCTTTAAAGTTACAAAAATATTTGTAAAATTTGGAAAAACTTAAAAGAAATGATTCAAAATTCTGTGAAGGAAATGAAAAGATATAAAAGTAAACTTGAACAAATGGAAAGATATCCCTATTCCTAGTTAAAATATATCAATATCAAGATGTTAGTTGTTCCTTTTGTGAATTTACTAAAATACTAATGACAGGGCCCACAAAACAGACCCAGTCTCCTATAAAAACATAGTGTATGATAAAGATGGAATTTCGTATAACTTAAGCAAAGACAATCTTTTTCATATACTATTAGGGCAATTACAGTCATTTGGTAGTGATAAAATTAGATGCAATCCTCACACCAAAGATAAAAACATCTCCAAAATGAGTCAGCTATAATATAAAAATTAAACTGCTCTAGCAGTAGAAGAAAACATAGTTAATTCTTCTCTCACTTTGACATAGATTCCTCTAGAAATTTACCCACAAGATATACATCAAATAACATGAAAATACATTATGTATGAGGGTATTTGTTAAAAGATTATTTGTAATGGCTAACGAGATTATTTGTAATGGCTAACACACAAGAATCTATGTAAACGTACAAACAAGATTGTTTTAATAAACTATTGTTCATATATATAAAAGAGTAATATGCAACAGTGAAAATGATAAACATATTTATAAGATACTATAAATGAAAATTTTAAATATATAAAAGCCCCTTAAATTATATATGCGTGCTGTAAGAAATAGAAATCTTTCAATTCATCAATCTGCTTGTCACAAAAATAAACACAGGGATGATAAGTAGGAAAGCACTGAAGTTAGTTACCTACAAGACAGAGCCGGGAGGTAAAATGGAAGACTCAGGAGGGAATGACACTTCTCTGAAATAAAGGAGTTCTTTAAATAAGGCCACCTCATTCAACATCATTTCATTGTAACATGATGACAAAAAATAAAATGATTCCTAGCTGGGGTCACTATATGTGTGGAGTTTTCTCATAGTATTTCAGTTTCATCCCTTTTTCAAAAGATTTGCCCATGAGGTTCACTGATATCTAGATAGTCCTATCTAAGTTGCCACTGAGTAAGTGTGAGTGCATTCTGTCCTGTCCTGTGTTGGTGCCCACCTTGTGCACTGAGCTGCCAGCTTAGTTTCCAGCCACCCATGAGCTAGAATTGAGTAAGCAGTTAAAAAATGAATGAATGAATACAAGTGATTACTTTTGGGATCTTTATTTACATAAAATTCTGTGATGCTTTGGGGATCAAAAATATGCCAAAGGAAGATAACTCTTGTTTATGTTAATTAGTCTATGGAAGGGAATTGATTTCTTCTATATCATTTCACTGAAAGTCATAGTATCCATGAATTTATCTATGACTTTATGTGATAATTCAGTGTTTACCAAACTGTTTATAGCTAACTGTAAGCAGTAGAACTAAAATGGCTATACAGATTTATATACAGCTTGCAGAGATCAATGTCCAATATTTTTGAAGACTTATGCCAAAAAATTTTGAGTAATTTTTTGTGTTAACTTTTACAATGAACCAATCTTATTTTTCCTCTTAGTTTACTTTACCACATTAGTCATTATACCTGACATATCCAACGCCACATATATAATGAAAAACTATACAGATGAACAAAATCAGGGAAAAACTAAATAAAGGCCGAGTGCAATAAAAAGCAAAAACCAACAAAAAGTTTGGGGTTGCAACTCAGCAATCATTTGCCAGAATAAATAACTCCTTACAAGTCAATTTTTCTAACTTTCATAAACTTAACTTTGCATATAAATAAATTTAATGTAATTATATTATATCTGGTAGATAAAAGGAAGACAGTGTTAGTCTTATTTTTTTCCCAAAGAAAAATGATGACTGTACAAATAATTGTATTATAGTCCACCAATTAATTTTTATTATACTTGTCACAGTTTAACAAACCAGAAAATTGAACCTTAGCACCACTACCCTCTATTCTCCACCCTACCACTATATAGCTACATTATTTGCCTTTTGTTCAAAGAAAGGGAGTTTTTAAAATTACTACACTGAAATTTTGCTGAATTTAATGGCCCGGAATGAGATGTACACACAGAGATGCATACGTGAATTTTTTTCAAAAAACAGAAATTATGTAGTGAATTGATAGCAAGATTTTTCACTAAACTAATTCAAGTGTGAATAACTCACAGATCTAGTAAAACCACTGCACATACCTAAAAGTACCCCAAGAGAATACAAACTGTATTATCTCCACATGTAGTTATACATACAAACATAAGATTAAGACATACTGAACAAAAGATGATACTTACCTAAGTTTATAATGCTACAATAGAAACAAATGCTGAGATTCACTGTGCTAAATATAGACATATTTATATAGTAAGTAAAAAACAAGGAGGGATAAGTTAAAAATATGTTTCAATTAGTTAAAAACATGTTTCAAATCCAAATCTTCATACTGAAGATTATCTTGGTTCAAAGTTTCGTCTCACTTCAAATTGGACTATAAATCACCTCTAAATTTCAAACAGAATTTTTATTTCACAGACATGACTGAATCAGAACTATAACCAATCAAGAAGATTTAAGACAACCAACAAATGAACAAATAATTGCATATGTAGTTAAAATATAAAAGGTAGGCCAAGAAGAAAAACTAAGTTTGTGAATTAAAAGCTTATGAAAATTTTATTCTTCACATCTGCTGAACAGAACAGAAAAGTCTAACAAAGATTGGAAACCTTGGCCCACAAGAGTTCGACACCTACCAGCCTCATGACCTTAAACAACAAATCACTCTGGATCTCACTGTCACCTTTCATACAATAGTGCTAGCAATACCTGCACCTCTTACTGCAAAGTAATTCAAATGTCAATTGAGGGGGAATTCACTTAGTTTAAGATCAAGATGACCAAGAAAGAAGAGCATCATGTTGTAATTCCAATTCTATAATCTTTTTACTATAATAACAATGAAAGTCTTGAATTAATCAACTTAGAAAACTTTCATAGTGTGAAATTATTTCCCATCTCAGCCTTGTCAGTTCAGAATAACACTTTGCACTTCCATTTCTACCATTAGCCATCTCAACCAACCCATCTAGTCAAAATAAAAATTATTAAGTTGGCTTCTTAGGCATCCAAGTGGGTAAGAAGAGGAGCAATGAGAGGAGTGAGAAGTGGGGGAATCACAAAGGACTAAGGGGGAGGGCTATGGGTGCTTTCGCGGTAGAGAGCTATGAAGACTAAACCTGAGCGGAGAAACCCTACACTGTCAAAATATTAACAAGGATATAAACTAATGGTACTCTACTAAAATAAATACATAACATTTTTTAAAAACCTCTTAAAATAAGCAATTTTTCAGAACTGATTATAAACAAATTTAA